AATCAGCCTCATCCCCAAAAAAGCCGTGGAAACTGCTATTCACCTTCCTGAGGGGGAAAAAAAGAGGATTTCAGCCCCAGGAATGCCCCATTAACACAATGGGGGTGGCATCTCCTGACGTGCTGCACGTGCGTCTCTGGTACAGCCGGGAAAACTCTGCAGGAATGAGCTGTGCCTTAGATTAGATTATGGGAAAATTAGTCTTTGATGATGTTGTCATTAGTGATGGCTCTGTAATGTGTTTGCACAAGGGCAGGGAGGAAATTAAGCAGGCTAGTTAAGGATGAAATAGCTCCCATTTCCCCGCGTTAGAACCTGGCAGGGCTTTAATCGAGGCAAAGGAAACTTTCAGGATTATTTGGGAGCTGATGACCAGGGCATGATCCTTCCCATGGGCACCAGTTTTGTCTCTGGGATTCTTCCTGCAGCTGAGTCCCAGGGAAGCAGAACCCAGCTCAGTGGCATGGGGTACAAGAGGGGCTGGGGCACATCTCAGCTGCACATGGTGACACCTCCAGACGAGACCAGCAACCCAGATTACTAGGAATTTGTAGGTGGAACAGCTCAGAGTAGCATCACACACTCAATTCAAGCCATCCCTGGGATCTTGGGAAAAACCACCTTCTCCAGCACAGCTCTGCTTTGGGAGCACCGTGCCTCCACCCATGAGGGAAAGAGCCACCAATTCCTCCAGCATTGCTAAAACCATTTATGTGCTCAGCCCTCCCAAGTAAGCAATCCACCCATCAGCATGACCCTGGAGACACTGGCACTCTTCCCAACAGGCTCCTTATTTCACCAGCTCAAGCTCTGCACCACTCACAGAACCCTTTTCTTCTACTTCAACCCAGTGCCCCAAACCCTTAAATTATGATCCATTTGCCTTCTGTCTTCATCCTGATCTCCACAGCATCCTCATCCTGACATCCTCACCGCAATGGGAGGTTAAATCCATCAACCAAGTTCACGTGCAGGATAATTCCTCCAGGTGAGACATCAACCTTTGTTCCCCAAAGAGAAACTGAGGAAGGTCCAGGACACACAACTCATGTTTCCAGGGAGGTGTGGGAGAACAGGATTCATTTTTGAGCTCCATCCACGGCCCATGCACGTAGCCAAAGGGATTCTTGGGGGCAAGCATTTTGGTGCCAGTTTTGGCTGGGTGCCCTGCAGGTGCCTGGGCTGCTCGCATACTAGGGGGGGAAGAAAAAATCCCACCAAAATCTTAAGCCGCAGGGTCACAGATGCTGTTTTATCCCCCAGCCCGCTCCCCTCAAGGATAATCTTGTTGTTTCAAGCTTGCACCAGCGTGAAGAGCTTGGAATGTGGTTTTCTGTATGGAGTATGGAGCTGTCTTAGAGAAGGGCCACCTGCTAGCCCAGCTCTGGCTCACGTTTCACTGGAAACATCCCGAAAACTGTGGGAACGTGCTATTCCCAGGGGTAATGGGGGAAGGGGATACAACAGGGTGCTCCTGGTGAGGATCAGACTGAGCTTCCAGCTCCTGCCCAACCCGGACCACCAACCCCCTTCATGGCAGTCCCAAAATATCCGTGGTGGGACTAACCTTGGGGTGCTCAGCTGGCTCAGCAGTAGGCTTACCAGGAAGGGAGCTCAGCTCTGGTTGCACCAGTCAGAAACACGCACTCCAGTGTGGGAAAGAGCAGCCCATGTAACGCTGGGAAAAGCAGCCATGGACCAAAACCCCTTTGTAGGCAGCTCTGGCCCAGGTCACCCCAAAATGCTCCTGACCTGCCTTCAGGTACACCAGCAACTCCACTTCCCCTCTGGCAGCCCAACCCTGACTCCTGGGACATGCCCAGACCTCCCTGCAGCACTGAGATCCCAACTTGGCTTCCTGATCCCAGCAGAGGAGATCCAAAAACAACCCATGGGTGCAGGAGGAGCAGGATTAGGGCCAGCAAAACACGGGAGCAGCAGTCAGAGCTTGTACCATCCTCAACATCCGCATCTCCTGGAGGCTCCAGCACACTGCTTTGCGGGGGATGTCCCAAGGAAAAGGGCCCAAGGAGCCATCAATACACACCCTGCGTACACACGTGTGTGTCACATCGCTCAGCGTCGCCCTGGATATTCTGGGCTGTTTGCTGGAAGGCAGCCACCACTTTGCATCTAGTTACCTGGTTTCCCAGCAAACAAACCGGAGTTCAAAGTGTCTGTCCTGCCGTTGCACGGGGGCAGGAAAGCTCTCGGCAGCTCCCCACGGCACCGAAGGATGATTTTTCAGAGACGGGGATTTCTTTTCCTTGTTTGCTGCCTTTGAAAGCTGCCTGCGGAGATGTGAGGCCAACACACACCCAGGGGCACCTCCAGGCATTTTCCCTGCTGGAGAGGAGAGTGGAATCAGAGCTGGCTTGGCTCAGAAACCTGCCCCAGGCTGCCAGGAAGGCTTCCTCCAGGGAAGAGACCTGCGAACTCCCTGCTCCGAGGAGGCTTTATCCCCAGATCCTGCTCTGCGCCCATGGCGGGCAAAGCAGGGGAGCCTCACATCCCCCTGGCCCTGCAGCGCTCCCGGCTGAAGGCCGAGGAGAAGACCCTGGATTTTGAGTTTGAGGTGGTGAGTGCCCAGTTCAACCGGCGGGGCTGCTACGCCCTGCGGCTGACGGTGGAGAACCCGCTGCTGCAGGGCTCCGGCGCCGGCATCCAGCTCCGCGTCAACGGCAGGAGCGCCGCCCGCAGCAGCACCGGCACCACCGACACCGTCGAGCAGAGCCACCTCAACCGGATCTACTCCTTCCAGAGGAGGAAATTCACCTTCACCCTGCCCAGAGGTAAGGGGCCAGGCACCGCGGGGGATCGCCTGGCAGGGGAGGTGACCCAGGAGCACGGGTGTGGAGCAAGCAAAGCCCGTCCCAGGCTTGCAGGCCAGCCCTGTACCACACTCACATCTCCAGCGAATCCATGAGCTGGAGTCAAAGCTGTCTGAGTTTCACGGGATGGATGGGGCAGGTCAAGCTTGGGGCCACCACCCCCACCCAAGATCTAGACACGTACAGGCTGGATAACTCATTTTCTAGTGCTCACAGAGCAGAGCTAAGCAGAGTTGCTGAGGGAGGAGCCCAGGAGATGCTCCTGGGACCACCAGCATTCCTAAGAAAGGCTTCCTCCTCCTTCCTGGCAGGTTTCTGCAAGAATGACAAGAACCACGATGTGCGGCTCCACATCGAGGCCTTGCGCTTCCCCGGGCGGGCAGGGAGACCGAGGAGGGGCAGGCGGGTGGGAGAAGCCTTCTTTGCCATCTACCCCCGCCTCGACCAGCCCCGGCTGAAGCTCTCCGCCAGGAGGAACGAGGACTGGTACCGCTACAGCGCCGTGGTGGCTTTGCTCCGGGTGGGCAGCGAGCAGCCGGCCATGCACTGCGGCCGCCTGGCTTTCACCGTGTCCCTGCACGAGCATCGGGCACCCCCCGCGCCGGCTGCACCCCCACCGCGCCCCCCAAGCTCCCAGGAGGACCAGCAGGCAGCAGGCACGGCCCCAGCGTCCCCAGATGTGACAATCTCCCCCCGCTCCCCTCGCACACCGGAGTCCGCTTATCACTCGCTGCCCGCCGAGGGCCACGCCCACTTCCCCGAGGTAGGAGAGCCCAGATTTGGGGGGTCCAGAGAGCGAACGGGTCTGTTCAGGACAGGATGTGGCCCTATAGAGTAGCTGCTGGATGGTCCCACATAGGCTCCAGCTGGAGAAAAAGCAGAAAGGGAGAGGTCTCCACGGCTTTGAGGGCAGGCTTTGGGACACAGCACAGCCCTGCCTCAGTTTGCCCCTGAATTTCCTCACTGGCACAGGCTGCCCAGGGCAGTGGTGGAGTCACCATCCCCAGAAGTGTTCCAAAAACATGTAGATGTGGCACCTGGGGACATGGCTTAGTGGTGAACACCACAGTGCTGGGTTAATGGTTGGACTTCACCTTGAGGGTCTTCTCCAACCTAAATGGCCCTGTGATCCTCTTTGCCCAGAAAAGGAGCAAGCTGGGACAAGCTCAAAGAGCTGCCAGGGTCTTGGTGAGATCACAGCCACCCAAGCAAAGCCAGGAAGGAGGGTCCTACAGTCAAGCCATGCTCAGAGCTGTAGGAAGAGATCCTTTATGGGGTATTCACCTGGTTCTTTCCACCACAGCATGGTCCAGCCACATCCTACCATCTACAAGACCTACATCTTGCCCCTACAGCACTTGTGGGAGCAGAACTTCCAGCCCACCTGCATCCCCCTCACCTCTGAGTGGTCCAGGAAGGATGAAGCTCCCCAGCATCTCCCTGCCCTCCTCTACCCCACCCTTCTAAGCACTGGGAGCAGCCAGCCCCCATCAAAGGCAGCTGGGAGCTGGGCAGTGCTCCCTATAAAGGATGGAGGGAGGACTGGGCTGCTACAAAATTCATTATTAATTTAATTCATTAATTAAGTATAGGTTTGTTCTCTTTTTATTTTCCTGAGGCAAATGGGGCTGTGGAGGGGCAATCCCTAGGGGTGCTTAGGGGTTGTCTCTAAGTCTAAAATAAATGTTGTTGGGGTGGTTATGGCTGGTTTAGTTGTGTGGTTTTTTCTTTGCTTCTTTGGTTTTGGTTTGGTTTTTTTTTTTTTTTTGATTTCTATCAAAGGTTCTGGCCCTGAAGTGTGAGGTCCTGAGCTTGACTGTTAGAGGAAGGAGCTGGGATACTGGGACATTGGGAGGAATGGGAAAGGGGGTTTGGATCTCAAAGCTGAGCCTTGAAACCCTTTTTCTTACCCCCAGAGGCTGCATGGTGACCCTGAGCTCATCTCCTCCCTGGAGCTCCTGGGTGGCTCAGGAGAGCATCCTTCCTCCTCCTCCTCCTCCTCCTCTTCCTCAGGGCCTGCTGTGCTGAGCTGCAGCAGCTTCCACCTCTCCTCACCAGGGTACAGCCCAGACCCAGCCTCCTCACCAGTGCAGGTGAGTGAAGCCAGTGGAGAAAGCACCATCCTAAATTAATCTAAAATGCTATTATTTATACTGGCTTCCAGTGCTGGGGACATGGAGGGTTGGAAGGGGACACTGGAACCTCCATCCCATCCCTGGCCCAGCCTGGGTACCAGTGCTGCTCCCAGGTCATCCCAACTCCAGCCTAGTTGCGGGAATGGGGGAATGAGACACCAAACTTTGCATTTTCACTACCAAAACACATCTCTGCGTGCTGGCTGGGCCCAGGCAGAGGATGGCATCGCCTGAAAGGCCTTAAAATGCTGAGTGTGGGCATCTGGGGCTGCCACGTCTTAAATATTTCACCCTGCAGATCTAGACTTAGGGAACAGATATCATCAGGCAGGGCTACAACAGTCCAAGAGACTGTGTTCTTCTTCCCTTAGTTGTGTTAAAAGCTGTCTAAATAAAGGAAAAAAAAAAAGACAACCCTTACCCCAGGGGCTCCATTTCCTGAATCTCACTGGAAGAATAACACACCCATGGATGTACTGTTTGTGCTGCTCTCAGAGGTGTCTCACACACCTGCAAAAACATCGCTTGCAAAGCTGGAGTGCAGCGCTGGAGATGGGATTGGTCTCATGTACCTTCCCCGAGCATGCTCTGGGGTCTCTTCTCCCTCCAGGGAGCCCTGGTGGGAGAGCTGGGGATGGTAGGATTGAGGGCAACGTTGTCTGCAGCCTCCTGGCCGCTGGGCAAACGCTGCTGGCTCAGGGGTGGGCCAGCAGCCCTCCCTCAGCCCCCCCAGCTCCAGGCTCCGGTGCTGAAGAGATGACAGAGGACAGTGCACAGGGTAGCTTGTGGCCAGGGTGAGCCATGAGGATGTTCTTCACACTGGATACATGTTGGTGGTCCAAACCTGAGAGTCTCAAGGCATCATATGTTGATCCTGCAGTGCACAGTGAGGGTGAACCCTAAACTGAGGTTTGAGAGACCAAGTATGTGCCTAAATTCAGGCAGGGTTTGGGTGATCTTATTAATTACTGACGTTGGGGAGTCATTGATGCTGGGGCTGGAGAGGGGCACACCCATGGCACTGGTGAATCCACTGGTGAGGTTTTAGGGTCAGATTTGGGTTGTCATCCCTGTCTCCTGCAGGGTGCCCTGCACAGGGGCTGCCTGCTGCCGGCCAGCTTCATGCCTTGACTCTTTCCCCCCTCATGCAGGAACATGGAGCTGGTGGCTCTGGGACGCTTGGAATGTGTATTTCTAGGGAGTTACGGGGTATTGGAGCTGAACTGCTCTCTGGGGGCATCTCCTTGCTCCAGGGGCTGCAGGCAGGATGCTGAGCACCACGAACCCCCAGCACCCCGGAGCGACTCCGGGCCCTTCGCAGCACTTCATTTCCAAGTGCATCTGCTATTCCCGGCCTGATCCGCCAAAAAATTACTGGCCAGAGATGCTTATTAGCGAGGTCTGATTGAGTTTGCTCAGCAAAAGTCTAGACGGAAACTCTTCGGAGCTGCAGGAATCGATAGCAATCGGCTGGGATGTGGAGGGGGATGCGGAGCGGGGCCAGGGGCGTAAGGAGAGGCATTAGCAAATGCAATCTCGCTCCTGGGCCCCTGGAGGGAATGCAATAAATCACCTGCTGCTGATGTCACCCAGCAAGTATTTGCCAAGGATGGATTTTATTTAAGAAGTAAAAGCTGAGAGGTGTGGGGGGTGCTGGCTCCTGCCCTCCTGGGAGGCCTGGAGTGATGGAAAACGTGTTGAAGGGTGGCTGAGCTGTCCTGGGTGATGGGGAAGCACCAGGTAGAGCAGGATTTTAACCTCCAAAAACGCTCCTAGGATGCTGTAGCCCAGAGCAAGCTGGGAGGTGGTTGTGGGTCTGGAGCTGTTTTGGCTCTTGGTGGTCCAAATCTGAGCGTCTCAAGGCATCATATGTTGACCCTGCAGTGCACAGTGAGGGTGAACCCTAAACTGAGGTTTGAGAGACCAAATCTGTGCCTAAATTCAGGCAGGATTCGGGTGATCTGATTAATTACTGACTTTGGGGAGTCAGTGATGCTGGGGCTGGAGAGGGGCAAAATCACAGATGTGAGTGGTATCATCTCAGGGCTGCAGCTCAGACTGGTGTCACGAGAAATCAGGATGCTGGCTATCACATCCATCTGTTTTGTTTTCCTAAGGAGGGGGGCCAGCCCCTTGACACTGCCTCTGTGCCGAGCACCTCCTCTGCAGGATGCTGGGGGTGATGGATGTGCGCTGAGCTCCCCGCAAAAGGCCAAGGCACGGGGATAATGATTTTTATCTCATCTCCCTGCAACCTGTGGATAATGTATTCCCAGGCACGAAGCGGGAGGCTCTGCTGGCTGTTCAAATGCCTGGTGTGTGTTGCAGAGCCAGACAGCTCCCTGATTGTCCCAGGACCTGGGCACAGCACCGAGCAGATCGGTGACGTGCCGTGGATCATCCCTCAGCTGCAGGAATGGGTGAGGCTGAGCACTGGAGCTGCCAGCCCCACAGGGCTCCTTCTCCTCACAGGGAAGGAGGAGAGGGAAATGGGCTCACCAGAATCCTTGGGGATCTCGCAGCAGGGCTCAGTTAAGGGGAAGCAGCCCCCAGCTCAGCAGAAGTCATACGAAAGTTTGGGTTGGAAGGGACCTTTAAAGGTCACCTAGTCTTTTAAAGGTCTTTAAAACCTTAAGAAGTCAGTCCCTCCCTCCAGGAACCATTCCCGTTTCACTTCCCCAGTGGTGCTGGGAGGAAGGAGACAGCTTTTGGAGATCTCCTTGGCAGCTGAACTTGTTTGCAAGCCCACAGAGTGGTTTGTTTCCAGTCTCCCGTGTCAGCTGGCAACCAGCACTCAGCCCAGAGCCACGATCTGGTGCTGTCAGGGTACAAGGAATCGCAGCCTCTCCACAACAAACACAGCTTGTGTCCCCCCTCTGGATCCTGTTTTTTACCAGGATGCAGAGGGATCAGGGAGCGGGGTGAGACCCATTTGGGACTCCCAGTGGGGAGCACAGCCCTTCCACACCATGCAAAGTCAGCTCAAACTTGGGAAGCTTCAACAGGTCAGAAGAATAGGACCAAACCTGCTCCTGACCATATGTTTTATTCCTTTGGATTCTCCATGGAACTACTCTGACTTGGACAGTTTCAACAGGTCTGAAAAATGGGACCAAACTAGCTCCTGGTTCCACTAATGTTGTGTTTTATCCCTTTGGATTCTCCACAGAGCTACTCTGACATTTTAAGCTTCAATGGGTCTGAAAAGTGGGACCAATCCAGCTCCTGGCTCTGCTCAGACTGTGCTTTATCCTTTTGGACACCCCATGGAGCTAAGCAGCTTCCCTGGCAAAGCCTGCATGGCTGTAAAGTGACGTCATGCAAGTCACAGGGAGGAGGAAAAAAGTCCCCCAGGGGTAAAGTTCGCCTTTATTTTTTAAGCAGGGCATAGAAAGTAAAGAAGGGACTCCTCAAGCAGTGAAGGAATTTGAGGCACAGGGTCCTGAGGCGTTCTGAGCCACAGCTGGAATAATTTCGGCCCCTTTTGTGCGGGATTCGGAATGGGACTTCCTTTGTAGCTGTGCCAAGGGGTTGGTTTTGGGCTGAGATCTTGTGTTTCTGTCCACCTGCAGTGGCAGGGGATGCAGGAGGAGGATCCCGCTGTGCAGTGATGATGCCCTTGCGACGT